AGCACATTCTTCAGCCATTGTTGGGGAAGAAAGGATTGGCTGGGAATAACACGACTTCATTATAACCCCAAGCAAATGGAATAGGCTCCCTCACAAAGTACGAGTTCTCTGCCATGAGAGATTAAACAGCCCCTTGCCTGTGGTGCAGAAGGGAAGAATCAGACAGAGAAAGACAGAATCTGCTAGTGGGAAGAAGCATGGCTGTGTCTGTGTGCGTGTGGAGGTGTGTGTAAAGGTATGTGTGTAGGGTAGTTTGCCTGGGTGCCAGTGCAGGGTAAACTTTGATGGAGGGTCTACACTCACTGTTGGTGGGTGCCGGTATCCAAGGAGAGGCCCCATTCATTGATTACTTTCTCTAAATATCTCATAGCTTTGCTTTCATACTGATTCCTCTTGTCATTTTTAAACTAGAAATGACTGACATGCCAATGCGATGCCTTAAAATAAGTGATGACAAGGTACCAATCTAGGGACATGTACTTAGGGACGCTACCTGTGCCCTGCACCCCCAGCTGAATTTCTAGATTCGAGCATCAGTTTTCATCAGTTCTCCCTTGTTCAACAATCTACGACAACGCCTTTCTCTTTAGCACAGTACTTCCAACAGAAATGTAATTCAAGCCACATAGGTCACATTCAATACAAGTAAAAAGAAACAGGTATAATTAGTTTTAGTAATATATTTCATTTAACCCAGAAAACCCCAAATCCACTGCTGTCCAGTCGATTAGGACTCATGTCGACCCCGTATGTTACAAAGCAGAACTGCTCTATGGAGTTGCCGAAGTTGCAAACCTTTGTAGAAGCAGACTGCCTCATTTTCTCCCCGTAGAGCGGCTGGTGTGTTTGAACTGCTGAGCTTTTGGTTAGTAGCCTGACACTTAATCCACTGCACCACCAGGGATCCTCATTTAACCCAACACAGCCAACATATTTTCATTTCAACAATGTAATCAGCATACAAATCATTAACAAGGGCTTTTGCATTCTTTGCACTAAGTCTTTGAAATCTGGTATGCAGTTTGCATTTGCTGTTAGAGGTCACTAAGCCAATTCCAACTCACTTGACCCCACTTGACAGAGGAGACCTGCTTCCAGTTTTCTTGGCTGTGATCTCTATGGAAATAGATCACCAGGCCTTTCTCCTGCAGAGCTCCTGGGTGGGTCAGAATTGCCAACTTTGGGTTTGCAGCCAAACAATTAAGCTGTGCACCACCAACACTCTTTAGTTTACAGCACATCAGTTTGGATAAGCACATTTTCTGTGCTCGGTAGGCTACTGGCTATTGCAGGCCTAGCAGATCAATCCTTTGCTCAGTTTTCCTAATTTGGTCTTGCCCACCAACAATGGTCACACTACTTCTACATCAGAATTGGTGTCCCAGCCCCTCTCTTCGCAGTTCCTTGAATACACCTTGTATATTTTACCTTCTGTATCTCTGTTTATGGGTGCTCCCTCAGCACGGTATTCTCTTAACTTTCTTCTTTCCCCCCAAATTTAAAGTTCTGGTATACTCTCCAGTTAATTTATTGTTGTTGTTAAGTGCCGTTGAGTCAGTTCTGACCCGTAGTGACCCTGTAGAGGGTTTCTGAGGAGCGACTGGTGAGCTTGAACCGCCGACCTTGCAGTTCAAATGGCTTTGCAGTCTGGCGCATTAACCCACAGCGCCACAGAGGTTTAAATAAAGTGCAATAGAATTTGTAATCAATTAAGACATTTCCCTGTATTCATCATTGTAATTTACCATATGTTTTCTCTCCCTAGCTAGATTTTAACCTAGGTATAAGGCAGAGAAGTTGTTTAATATTTTGTTAGCATTAGTAAATGCCAAATTTGTGTATAGTATCTAGAACCATGGTTGGTGCTACCTGAAGACACTTACTGGTTGAATGAGGGGTGTCAAATATATCCAAAAAGCAACATGCTTGTATCCTCTATTCAGTTCTGTTGGTACCCCATTTCTTAGCTAATAGCTTGAGTTCAAATTATCTTCTCTTATACTTTGGCCGTTTAAAAACTCAAGCATTTTCTAAACTACAGGGCAAATGGAGGTTTGTTTATCTTGAAGTTAACAAAAAGAGTATCCCTTTGGGCATTTTCACTTATCAGCCAAGGTGTCCAGAAGTAAACCTGTAAGCCAGTGGGATGTCTCCTGTTATTTTATGATGTTCTGTCAAAACACAATCCTGCAATTTAGGGATTCTACCACCAGATGGTGATAGGGCATCTTGGTCAAGATTACACAATCCGGACTGTAAGACATTTACCAAACACGCTTACAGTTTTATAATGATACACACACGAATTTTCAAAAAAACCCACAAATTTCTAAGGGCTTTTTGGTATCCTTGTAACATATTCTTAACTATTATGAATCACTGTTTGTCTTAAACCTTTCCTATTCCTTTCTACCTCATTTTATAACTTTGTAACTTATCTCAAAGTCAAATTATCCTTGAAGTAAATGAATCATTCAATTTTCAGACACTGTACCACAAGTTTAAAGACGTTTTTAAGCAAAATTTTAATCAGTTTCTGTCTTTTCCTAAAATTCTTCCACTTTTGATACTCAGCCTTCCCAATTTTATAATTTCAAGAACTGTGTCTTGTACTGCTCAGCTACACACAACAGGGCAAGGTCTGACAGGACAGAAACCTGCTCCTGAGAACTGATCGTAGATGGAGGGGTCTCAACATTGCCACTACTCGTGTCAGGAGGCTTTCCTTACTATCTGTAGGATGTTCCCTTTCCTAAAATTTAAGGATGTGAGATTATCTGTAAATCTTTAGAAAATATTTCTCATTGAATGCAATTTATTCCTCCTCGAGGAACTGCCAAAATCCATCTCCCTAAAGCTGTCTCCCGTCTATGCAAACCTAGTGCTGCTTCAGGGAACCTTCTATGCAAACCTAGTGCTGCTTCAGGGAACCGTTGTTGGTTTAACATTTTCAACACCTCGTTCACGTTTTCACTCCAGGGCAGCAAGTTAAAGCCTCCATATTGATTTTCTGAACTTCTGATATAAATGGAAAGATCTGAGAAACAAATGTAACAAAAATTCCCAATGCACTTAAAATAGAATCTAACGGCCTTTCTATGACCTAAAGTTTCCAAGTGAAGTAGCCATGCTGACGCTCCATTTACCCATACACACTCAGAACCTTGACGCATCAAGCTCTCTGGGTTATTTCTGACTGTATTTCTCTCTTTAACACTTCCCCCGTGTCCCTTTTGAAGTCTCAGCAAAAATATCCCTTTCTCAGCTTTCAAAAGTAGCCTTCCCTGCCCAATCCCTTGGTTCTATTTATTTCATTCAGATTTCTCAATTATTTGTGTGATTACTTGTTTATTACTTTTCTTCCCCATTACCATGTAAGTTCCACAAAGAATGGAGCTTTCTCTCTTGTTCATAAATGTATCATTAATACTTGTACCAAGCACAGAGCAGGCATTAAGGAAATGTTTGTTGACTGGTTTACTCAGATTAAGATTTTCAATTTCTAGGCTTGCAAACCATGTGACTAGTGATGCTAATTGGTTAATAACAAAATTAACATGTTGGAATTTCTCCTCTTTCCATTTTTTTTCCCCAACCTCCAAATCCAAGGAAGGTTTGTGTTTGCAATGAACGGGCTTCAAGCTGCAGTAGATGGGCTGAAACCTTTTCTGAAGTTTAGCTTCACTGTCATATTATACTTGTTAAATATCTGCAGCCATCTACACACTCAGTGCTATCCAGTTAGTTTCTAACCTCCCTCCTCGCTGGACCCTTGGGCTCTGATGACCTGCAAATCTCTCTAAAGTGTACTGAGTTTAAGGTACAAACCTTGGGGAGAGAGAGACCCACAATTGAATCTTGGTTCTGCCATGTGGCCTTGGGTAAATGCTTCTACTCAAGCCTTGGCTTCTTCGTCTATAAAATGGGGACGAGATCAGCACCTAGCTGGTCGGGTGGTCGTGGGCTTCAGTGGACGATTCAGGTCGAGGACTCAGTGAAGTGTCTTGTACAGAAAGTTACACAAACAGTAATCCTTTCACTCCTCCCTCCCTCCTCGACTCTGTAACCTTTCATGGTTATTTTTATCAGCCGATGTCACTTTTAGCTCAGGACCTTCTCAGAATTATGGAACACAGAAAGCCAGTCGGCCGGCCAGTGCACCACACTTTTCAGATAATCAGGGTGTGAGCGCTGGACAGAAGAAAGGGCCGTTTCCCACCACGGTGATTTCAATACACCGCTCATTAGCGTCATTAGCCAAAGGAGCTCTGGTGGTATAGGGTTTCCGAGGCTGTAAATCTTTATAGAAGCAGAAAGTCTCATCTTTCTCTTGCAGAACTGCTGGTAGTTTCGAGATTAGCAGCCTGACTCGTGACGCTAATAGGGTGTTAATAATTACTATAAAGGATTTTCAGTTGAGTGTGTTTTAAATTTTAAAATACACTGTAAACTGTAAAGATACACTGTTGTTGTTGTAGTTAAGTGCCGTTGAGTCGGTTCGGACTCATAGCAACCTCCAAGGAGCGACTGGTGGGTTTGAACTGTCAACCTTGCAGTTAGCAGTCCAATGCTGATCCTACAATACCACAACAGGACTCCTGCATAGAATCATAGCCTGACTTATTAATCACCTGCAGAATAACCCTGAAAAATAAAAAGAACAAAATCAACCTGGTACCAATGGGGAAGGATCCAAATGAAACAGTTCTGCCAGTAACTTGTCTCGGGCAGGCTAATTTCCTTTTGCTTTGTGCCTCTGTTTCCCCACAGGAAAACTGGGGATCAGATGGCCTTCTTTAAAGAGGGATGAATAACGCATAGTCATACAGTCTGAAACCAGGCAGGGCCCGATAAACAGGATGCAATGATCCCCCAGCAATGTCCTGGAACATGAGGGAAGGAGATACCCATTCTGCCCAGGGGTGGGGGTCTCTTCTCCCTGCCACGCCAGCCAACTCTGCCCACAGGAAGAGAGGGGTGCACCCTCGTGGGGGAGTTACCTTGACAAACTGCACATCACTGAGGATGTGGACCGAGTAGTCGGGCGTGTAGAGGTTGTTGCTGCTGCTGTACAGCTGGCTGGTGCTCCCCCCAAAGTCGCTGCGCTCACGGTTCGGAGACTCGCAGCGGTTCAACCCGCTGCAGCGAGAAGGGGACCGGTTTACTGCAGTTGTTGAGGGAAAAGAAGAGGGAAAGGAGAGGAAGAAAAGACAAGGAGGGGAGGAAGAAAAGGGGCATGGAAAGAGAGAGAAAGAGAGAGAGGTGTTGTTTACTGAGGTCCCGCTGGACCATGGATTATGGAAATAGCCCCTTGCCTTTCCCATTAGAGCAGCGGAAGGAGCCAGGCTGGCTTCGTAGATATTTGTTCCCTAGAAGTGAATATCTAAGCCAGGAACCCAAAGCACCAATCTTCTCAGGCTCCTCCAATTTCCCTGAACTACTGAAGGGTACAGAGGTGGTCCACAGCCTTTCCTGGTTCTGGTCTTCAGGCACAGGAGGACACCCCAACGAGATGACAGCACTGTGAGTCTGCTTTGCTAACCCTCTGCCACCAAGAGCTATTGTCCAGAAATACCATCTATGAGCTGTAGGCGTGTCCTCGGGGCCATTAGTCACCGCACAGATAACACTCCCCACCACAGTGACATGTGTTAGCCTGCCCCAACATTTGTGGGTCCTGGGCATGCATACAAATGGAGGCCCGCAAAACAGATGGATAAATACTTACAAGTTAGCAATCACATTAAGAAAGTGTCAAAATCTTGTCCTTGACAAACATACCATCATAACAACCTGAAAAGTCAGGTTTGACTCAGATTCCTTTTTGACCAGAAAACAAGGCAGAGTGGGGGGAGCCAACCCCAGCTTCTATGCCCCCCACCTACACCCCGAAGCTGTCTGAGTGAGGAGTTCCAGGACCCTCAGTTTCTGAAATGTGGTCCAGAAGGAAAGACACTGTCACTGTGGCCCTATGGAAAAGGGCACAGCTGAGGAGGGTCTGAGTGGGGAATCTCTAAAGTGAGGTCTAGCACAGGGCTACCTCTTGCTTAGGCCTAAGGGAGAAATGGAGTCCTGGTGTGGTACTGTGGGATAAAGAACTAGACTACAAGGTCGGTTTGAACCACAAGGTTGTTAGTTCAAACTCGCCAGCTGGTCCTTGGAAACCCTATACAGGATTGCTATGAGTCAGAAAAGACTCGACAACACTTAACAACAACAACAAAAGGGAGAAATAGGAACAACTTTGATAGAAGGCCTCCTCAATGTTCAGAGTCAGGCCGTTTTTATGTTTTCAAGGTCCTGCTTTAAGTAAAGAAACACTTTTAGGGAAAGTTTGATTAAGACCACGTCACTGGCTTTCAAAGTGACCGGTATGAACTGGGTCAATAGACGAGAGCATTCTGAAGATGATGTGAGCATCATCTCAACCACAGAATGATCTGGAGTGAGAGACTGCAGAGCTTTCCTGCTCCTCTGCCATCCAGCTGGTCTCACTCTGCACTTCTTCCCCAAAAGAAGAATGGGATGCTGTCTGCCTCTCATAATTCAGACTGTTCAGGAGACTCAAGTGCAGAATCAGACTCTTCATAGATTCTGGTCTTGGTTCTTTCGAGGCAGAACTTTGGGAAGTTAATCCTGTCTCATGAAGATACTGGGGTCATCAATCAAACTATTTGATCAGTACCTATTTGGAGTGAGGCAGAGAAGGGTGCCAATCTGGTAAACTGCCAAAACCTGTCATTGTTGTCTGGCTGACCATACAGCCAAAAGATTAAAGTAATGTAGCTGTTGTTGTTAAGTGACATGGAGTCGGTTCTGACTCATAGCGACATGTATATATAGAGTTTCCAAGGAGTAGCTGGTAGGTTTGAACCACTGACCTTTCAGTTCAAACTGACCTTGTGGCCCAGTGCATTGTCCTGCAGCACCACACCAGGACTCGAAATAACATTAGGTTGAATAACTGTCTCGTTGTTGTTGTTAGGTGCCATCGAGTTGGTGCCAACTCACAGTGACCTTATGAACAGCAGAACGAAACACTGCCTGATCCTGGGCCAACCTCACTACTGTTGCCACGCTTGAGTCCATCGATGCTGCCACTTGGCCAAGCCATCTCGCTGGGGGTCTTCCTCTTTTCCTCTGACCCTCCACCTTACCAAACATGATATCTTTCTCCAGCAACTGTTCCCTCCTGACAATATATCCAGAGTATGAGAGACGAAGTTTGGTCATTTTGGCCTCTAAGGAGCACTCTGGCTGCACTTCTTCCCAAATGGATCTATTGGTTCTTTTGGCAGCCCATGGCACTTTCAATATTCTCCTCCAACACCATAACTCAAAGGTATATTCTTCTACAGTCTTCCTTATTCACTGTCCAGCTTTCACATGCATATGAGGTTATTGAAAATACCATGGCTTGGGTCAGGCGCACCTTAGTCCTCAAGCTGACACCTTTGCTCTTGAACACTTTAAAAAGGTCTTGTGCAGCAGGTGTGCTTAATGCAATATGTCAATAAGATCTCTTGACTGCTGCTTCCATGAGTGTTGATAGTTGATCCAAGAAGAATGAAGTCCTTGACAACTTCAATCTTTTCTCCATTGATAAGAATATTGTTTATTGGTCCAGTGGTGAGGATTTTTGTTTTCTTTACATTGAGATGTAATCCATACCAAAGGTTGTGCTCTTTGATCTTCATCAGTAAATGTTTTAAGTCCTCTTCACTTTCAGCAAGCAAGGTTGTATCATCTGCATATCGCAGGATGTTAATGAGTCTCCCTCCAATCCTGATGCCACGTTTTTCTTCATAGAAATCAGCTTCTCAGATGATTTGTTCAGCATACAGGTTGAATAAGTATGGTGAAAGAATATAACCTTGTCACACACCTTTCTTAATTTTAAAACATTCCGTGTTCCCATGTTCTGTTTGAACAACTGCCTCTTGGTCCATGTACAGATTCCTCATGAGCACAATTAAGTGTTCCGGAATACTTATATTTTGCAATATTGTCCATAGCTTGTCATGATCCACACAATCAAAAGTCTTTGTGCAGTCAATAAAGCACAGGTAAACATCTTTCTGATATTCTCTGCTATCAGCCAAGATCCATCGGACATCAGCAATGATACCCCTCCTTCAACAGCCTCTTCTGAATTCGGCTTGAACCTCTGGAAGTTCTTGGTCAAACTGTCTCATTAGAACCAGTTTGTACTAGAACCAGTACTATCACTACCTGGATGTGATGTATAGAGTTAAGGGTTCCACTTCCAGTCTGCTTTCTGTAAACATCATTCACACACACCCTGTTAGCTAAGCCAGACATCAAGTCCGGCTATCTCCCTGTCTGTCCCCACCCTTCATTCTTGCCCCTTCTAATCTGTTCACACCTCAGCTGCCAAAGTCCTACTGTATTTGAATAAAATCCATACTCCTAGCTGTGGCTTCTAACACTCTCTATGTCCTAATACGCCTTCCTGTCTAATCTCATATTGACCTTTCCCCGTCCACTTTGCTCCAGCCCACAGCCTCCTTGGGTATCCTCAAATATGTAAACTTCCCTCACCTCAGCAGATGCCATTTCCTCTGTCCCCACCCATTCTCACACATAGCTGCTTATTTCTCTGTGATTAGGTCTCATTTCTCTGAAGTCCTTGTCTGGCTATCCTAAGAAGCATCTCATTTCCCTCTATCTCTGACCCTTAGTCATTCCTTCAAAGCATATCTCACCAGTTCTAATCAATTACAGGTTTGTATTTATTTACTAAGGAGCTCTGGTAGCGTAGTGGTTATAAATCAGGCTGTGAACCTTAAGGTCAACAGTTTGAAACTACCAGCTGCTCTGCGGGAGAAAGATGAGGCTTTCTGCTCCCGTAAAGGTTTACACCCTCGGAAACCCTGTACAGGGTTGCTATGGGTCGGAATCGACTCGACGGCACTTAACAACAACAACAACTTATTTACTATGTCTACTCAATTCAGCTAAGGAGCTCTGGTAGCATAGTGGGTAAGAGTTGGGCTGCTAACCTCAAGGTCAGCAGTTCCAAACTACCAGCTGTTCCAGGGGAGAAAGATGAGGCTTTCTGCTCCTGTAAAGATTTACAGCCTTGGAAACCCTATATGGGGTTGCTGTGAGTTGGAACCGACTCATAACCACCACCACTCAATTCAACTATCAGTTCCACAGGGGCTGAGACATCATCTTTTCTTGTCACGATTCTATGCCCAGTACCTAACACAGTGCCTGGTTTAGCCCAGGTGCTCATTAAAAAGTGGAGAATGAATGAATCAACATTTATGGACCTCTTAAAAGGGTTTTTTATTCAGAATCTAAATTTTGGTTTAAGGAACGGTTCAAAGATCTCAAATCCTCCTAGGATCAGAAAGCCCTTTCTCTGAAATCATTCTGGGGAAGCCGGTTTCACCGAGCAACTCTCAGGTGGTGTGGTCAGATAATAAAAATGTGCCACTAGAATCGAAGGGCACCAGGAAGCCTGGGCCCTTGGCCACCAGAAGCAGTAGGACTTTCTGTTTAATGAAAGTCTGTAAAGCAGGGACGCCTAGGTCAGGACTCTACTGGGTAATGGAGGACCAGTCCTCCTCCAGAGTGACCAAGGTCCAAGAGGGGCAGTGACGCAGTCATGGAGATCAGAGACAAACCCTAGGGTAATTGTAAATGGTGGTACCACGGGGCAGAAAACGTGCAATTCATTTCTAGTCCTGGTGCCCTTGAAGACCTTCAAATGAGTTCTGGGTTGGCTATCCCATCTGTGGCTGTTCTAGGGTGATTAAGCCAGTGGCATTTGCTCTGGGGCTAGTTGAAGAAAACAGAGGTAGTTAATTCTGTAGACCAGCTTCTTCTCTGGCATGTGAGTGGAGTCTGGAAAACCGTACCTTGGCCTTGGTGACTCTTGATCCTAACTCAGTTTGGACAGAAATAGTGAGCAGAATCTATGGGCTCAGTTATGCTGGGAAACAGCCATCACTCCTTGATAATCCTCTGCTTTGCCTGGTCTGCCATGTGCTTCACCTGACACATGTTGTTCCTTCTATCTTCTCCCTTATGTCACAATGTAAGCTATGTTCAGGGAGGATGAAAGGGAAACAAAGCCAGTCTTATCTACAAAACCCCCTCCAACCACAGAAGTTTCTGCTTAAACCACTTTAC